TAAAACCCAGGTTGTTTGTGTGCGTGTGTGTGTTCGTTTATATATAGGATCGGATTTCCTACATTTTTCAACCGATTTCAACAAAACTTTGCAGGTAGTGTTTCTTATTGTCTTGCACACTTTTTTCTTTATTTTTACATTCAGAATGCTTTAAAAATTCCATTTACAAGAGAATTGTTTATAATAAAATTCTATTCAATCGGTAGACTCATAACGATTGAAAACAATGTTTTTGTTTGAGTTTGGGTTTGACCAATTCGTAAAAAAATAAAACAAAACAAAAAAAAACTAATTAAGACATGCGTGTCCGTCAACCTTAATAATTTTTGTCAATTTTATTTTTCTGTCTTTATAATGGTCGATACTTGATCTATCTCTTACTGTTACATCCCCAGGCAACGCCAGGCTCTACTGCTAGTATATATATATAAAGAAAGAAGAAAATAAAAAAAATTCAACAACAACAATAACAGCATTTACTCACTTTTCGTTTATTAGGCATTAAATTACATCATTTTGCATCCTCCATAGTTTATTTTGATTTTACAGTTGGCCATATGAATATTTTTCAGTGTTCTTAAATTTAAAGATTTTTTAAGACAACAATATATTTACTTCTGTTTATAAATTCTTATGCAAAATGAAATCCTTACATTTGCCTTGATAAAGTCGATCGGAGGACAAAACACATTGGTAAAGATAGGTTCTCATTTCAGATTTATTCATATTGTCTTTTTACAAATATATTTTATTTATATCTGAATAATTTTTACACATAATTATATATGCATGTATGGATTGGCCTTTTTACTTAGGATCAGTGTACACTTAGGAATCAAGGTGTGCCTCTGCCGAGGATCAGTGTTGTATTTGTGCACTATAACTTAGTATTTGCAAGTTAATTTTTCTGTGCCATACAAGCAGGCAGAATGCCTGATCTACAACACTGTGTGTGTGTGCATGCACATGCATGCAAGTAGAATGTCATGGTTATTTCTTCTTTGTGTTGTTTGTTGTTCACTTGAAAATGCCTCCTTAATTTTTTTTTTTTTTACTTTTTGTCTAGTTGTATATATTTTGACTTGTCTTTTCAGACATTCATGCCTTAGTTAATTTTTAAGCATTCTAATGTTTTATACATACATACATACATACACACACACACACACACACACACACATATATATATATATATATAATCTCAATGGTGACTCTAGGTCATCAATGTTTGTTGTCAGGCTCATTACAATCTTTAACAAAATATAACTTAGATGCTAAAATGCTTCCTTTAACTAAAATATACAATTTTTAAAAATCTCTGTGCATGAAATTAAAAAAAAAAACACACATATTTTGGTATTTTAATATTAATTGTAATAATTCTATAAAAATAAACATTGATTTTTTTAAAAAATTTTCCAGATGTGTAAAGGAAAAATAATGTGTGTATCTATCTCGAGTGTGTGTTTGGGTATATATCTATGCATTAGTGTGTTTATGTATCTCTCTGACTTTTTAGTTTAATTTATTGTACATTTATGATCAGTATTGCTGACTGATATCCTTTTCCCCCAACACTACCCCAGTCACACTCCTCACCCCAACTCTCCAATCAATGAGTTAAGGCTACCACTTTCTTTGATTTTTGCCGACTTAAAGTCAGGCTAAATTTTATTTGCTCAACTTTTCAATTGATACATTCCACTAAAAAAATTTGTGAAACAGGAAATGTTCATAAGAATTTTTTCTCTAACTAAATGTTTTCATTTTCAAATGAATAAATTCGAAATGGTCCACACACAGTGACATGTGTTAATCACATTGTTATTACTGATAACTATACCAAGATTTTAATTTTTAATTATGAAAACATCTTTTCTAAAAAATAAATCTTTTGCTACTATTTCTAAGCTATATGCTTATGGTCTTCTGTAGTGAAAGTATCTAAAGTACCTACTACAAAAAATTACCTTGAATCCTTTTAGTAGTGCAGCCCACCTTGTGATAAGCCATAAATTGTGCAACCCATTGCTCTCAAGAGGTTGCCCATGCCTGCTTTAACTATTAGACTATTATAGCTATCAAAGTTAAGCAGGGATCTTGTAGTCATTTTGTGACTCTCTTTCTTCTGATTTTATTCTATGCTGAATTGGTGACAACTTAAATTATCAGATACTTGAGCAAAATAACCATTTTGAATTACAAATGAAAATATCATAGACGTGTCATATTTTCAGTGAACTAACACTGAATTTATTTAATTGTGACAAATTACCTGAAGCTGAATGACTATGATCCTTTCTGTGCTTTGTATGTAGATGGCCATTTGCAATTCGGGAAGTGCATATGCAATTCTTATGATACCATTAGCTTATGAATATTCATTAGTTCGATGTGTATTTAAGCATTTGCTTGATGAGGTAAACAGTTTGCTGCCAGCAGCCATTGAGGGAAGCTTGCATTGGCTATGATCTATGGTGAACCATGCTTTCCACAATTTACAGTGTTGGAGTGAGTTACTTTTCTTTCCATGGAAGTGAACCCATTTTGAAGTCTGTCACAGAATCTACTTGCTTACTGGAATGTCCATCATCAAAAAAAAAAATCAAAAAACAGCGAATCATCAAACTTCTGGTAATAATTTTTGACATAGTCTACATTGATGTAGGCCCGATAGCATGTATTGTATATGCATCTAAGACCTCGTTGTCATATTTTCACTAAAAAAATTTGTGAAACAGGAAATGTTCATAAGAATTTAAAAATATATATCAATATGGAGTTTTTTTTTTTGTTTTTTTTTATAAGTATGAGGGCATGGATTAACCTGAAAAAGGAAAGGTCCTTTTCTCTTCATTATTGATGGCCATTGCTGTGATAAACTGTCAAAATTGCTATATTCTGTAACAGTTTACTCCATTGTAGCAACACCAAACAGTCTGGAGGATATTTTATGGGTGTAGGGAGCCTTTTAAAAGCAATTCTCTAAACTACTTTGAAAAAAGACAATGTGGTCCTCCTGCTTGAAAGTGACAATTGATATCAGTGTGCCCTAAAATTATAGTAGGAGCTGAAAAGTACGTTAGAAGAGAAAGTTCTGTGTGTGTGTGTGTGTGTGTGTGTATGTATGTGTGTGTGTATATATATATATTATATATATTATATATTATATGTATATATATATATTATATATATATATATATATATTATATATATATATATATAAATAAAAAGAAAGAACAGTAAGATATATAATCCGGTGTTCTTATAGATATTTTTATTTTTACAAAATTCGGGGCTTTTAGCTTCTATTTTTGAAACATGGTTAGAACTGTGTAGCGGAAAAAAACAAATTTTAAATCAATTAATTTATAATATGTATATATAATGTTATGTGATACAACCAGTAAATAAAACCAAACCATTCTTTATGTGTGTGAAACAGAAAACAGTTTTATAAGAAGTAAATAAAAGGAGAAAGATAATTAGACAAACATGGCCGCAATAAGACATAGTGTCAAGAAGACTTTTTTTTTCCCCAATGACACTGCTTTTTTAACTACCTTCACTCTTTGGCAATGTTTATTGTTTTAAAAAACTGGTTAGAATTGAAAAAAAAAAAAACTAAACATATGATGAAAATGAATTTATATTTTTTTTTGGTTCTTGAGAATTTACAACAGAAATAATAAACACTATTTATTTATTAGATTGTTTATTTACAAGAATAATTTTATATTTCCAACATTCTAAAAACTAATACAATTACAACTAATGTAATATTTATCATTTGCCAATTTATAAAGAAATAAATGCAAAAACAATTTTTTATTCATAAATTTATAAACATTTGCTAAATTATTAAAATACGTGAACCAACTATAAGGCAGTTCTTATTATTTACCATTTCATAAAGTTTGAATCAATTGGCAATTAGCCAATATTTTGCCAACCATTCCAATAAACAATCTAATAAATAAATAGTGTTTATTATTTTTGTAAATTCCCAACAATGTATAAATTCATTTTCATGTGTTTGTTTTATTCCAATCCTAATAATCACTTTTTAAAACCATAAACATTGCCGAAGAGTGAAGGTAGTTAAAAGAGTGGTGTCATGTGTAAAACCATCCTTTTGATACTGTCTTATTGCAGGCATGTTTATCTATGTTTGTCAAAATATTTTATGGCTATTTTAGTGAAACACCACCCATATTTTTAATTGGTTGTATTCTTGCGTCCACAATGCCTGTGTTATGAATCATGCAGCTGATGTTCATTGGACAATCCTTTAAACAAATAAGCTCAGGGGAGTATCAAGTAAGTGGTCAGAAGACTACCTAAAACTGTTTAAAACATCTAATTGTTTTTTGCTGTATGGTGCTTGTTATGGTGTCACCGTTTCTTTTACCCAGTTTTGCCTCCACCCTTCCACATGGAAAATCTTGCTTTTTTTTTTTTTTTTTTTTTTTTTTAACTTAATTTTGATTTATTTACTTCATTTTGATTGACAAACAACAAAAATTAAAAACAAAATTTTGGTGTTTCAGTACAAATGTGCTAAAATACTTTCAAAAATTTTAGTAGGTACCACCATGATACTAAAGCTTATAATATCTTGGATTTTAGTACCAGCATCTCCTCCCCACCTGAAGTGTAAGAAGTGTACACATAAACGGAGGAGAAAGAGAGATGCAAAAAGTTCAAGTGCACTAAAGTAATGCAAAAAAAGCAGCCATTTATTTTATCTAATAAATCTAATATTAATGAGTGACAGTATAACTAATTTATTTCATGGTATTCCATTCTAATATTAACAAGTGATGTTTATTTACCCAATAGCCAAAATATAGTTTATTTTATTTTTCCAGTGTCTCTGTCTTAGCCATTTATTTTGTTCCAACTTCATAAAAAATTTAAAAACACTCAAGATTTTTATACTGAATATAAAATTGGATTCTTATTTTTCCTTTGTGTCTTTTCCTTCTTATCCTTTACAGGCAGACAAATTAATACGAGATATTAGAAGATATCACAAAGATGATGGCAAATCGATATCACCTGAAAGAAAATGTGATGAACCTGTTTCTCCTGAAGATGAGACGGTCTTTTCATTGAACTCATTTTTCCAGGAGGCAGATGAGAGTGAAGTTGCTGAACAATATGTGGATGATGAAATTGTCTTTATGATGAATCCAGTCGATCAAGATGAGGAGAATAGCAAATGCAATAATTCTGCAGAATTGGAGAACATCGAAGATACGTTTAGTAAAATAGATGATCACAATGAAACAGTAGAATTTGAAAAGCATCAAGTATGTATTCCTTTCTTTATTTCATCCATTTTACTCAGCTCATGCATAAAATCACTTCCCTGTTTTATGTCACCAAATTTCAAGAATACTGATCGATTTTCTATTAGGTTGAGTTATAAGTAAATTTTGCTCCTGTTTATTAATGTTACTCTTCAAAAAAAAATAATATATAACTACATTTTTATTCAACTATATATTCACTGTTACTTGCAGGTGGTGTAACAGATAACAGCTTGGAATAAGAAATCTGGGGTCCGAGTTCAAATTCCAGTTGCGGTCGTTACATTCACTTATACACAAATACTCTTGGAAGTGGTATGAAGCCATCTCTTTTCCCCGCAGATGTGGGTTAAATAGCAGAGCAGACTGGGTTCTCTAGCCATGGCTAACAATCAGTCAATGAGAACAACTCTGAATTCAAATTTGTACGTGGCCCCTGTAATAGAGATACCATAATCATGATTTCTATTAGGTTTCAACCAAAGTGCTCCTTGAACAAGAGTTGCGCAAGGAGCCATCTAATGCAGTGATACAAGTCTTACTAATTAACCCATACCTGGGGAAGAGAGAAGGTAGATCCATACCTTTCCTAAGCATATTTACATGTAAGTGAATATAACAAACCCAAAAAGAATTGGAACTCTGATATCGTATTAACAATTCCAAGCCATTATTCATTAGACCACCTATACATCCAAGCTTACAACACATATTTCCAAGCGCTCATCTATGTAGGTTCTAACCAGGCTCAATATTACTTAACTTTGGTGGTTATATGAGGACTGATATTTCAGCATGAAGTGGCCATAAGCCTACCTGTCATGATATATTTAAGAAACAGGATAATAAATTTGTCATTATAAATGGTTACCAAAAATGGAAATGATTTAATGAGTCAGTCTAATAAAAGATATAAATGAAGTGATTAGTTTTACAGTTGCACTGGCTTAAATATTGTTTAGTGTAGTGGTTCTTAAGTGATGACCACTAGAGAGTATTGGTAAATTTTATGAGGACTACAGAAAAATTTAGGGGTGGGGAGCACAAGTTTGCTAAAGGAGGCCACAGTGCTACAACCCTGTTGCTCTCTATATTTTAGTTCTAATAAATTTAAATTATGTAATTGAATATATTTTTGAGCTTTATTTACAAAATTACTTTCATCTACTTATTGAATGATCCATAAATATTTACCAACTCGCAATATCCACTTTTATTCATTTTTTAAAATTTTTTTTTTCTGTGGTGTAAGCTGTATCCCCCCCCTTTTTATTTTTTATTAATTATGCTGAGTTGTTAATAGGAAATGCCAATACAAGAAATTAAATAAAATAATTTTTCCCGCGTTAGTATTATGATTTTTTTTTTTTTTTTTCCAGAACTTTTTTAATTTGTGTGTTTAAAGTTTATTTCATTTGTCTGGTTTTGTTTTTAAAATAAACAGTTTTGGAGTTTATATGGAGAAATGTCACTGTTTATTTGTTCCAGAAACTGTAAAATGAGTTTTTGATAAAGTAAACGGGTAGAGAGGGGCCATAAAAAAATCACCAATGAATCAAAAGTGGGCCACAGATAGGAAAAGATTGATAACAATTAGTTTAGCGCAACCGGGTCCAAGGGAAATAAATCAGTGTTATAATGACATAACTTTGAATTTCTTGAATTTGACGTCACAGTAAGATCCAAGGGAAGTAATCAATATTACAAATTGCATTGTTTCTCGATTTTCCTCATTTATGTCAGTCTAAGAGAAGTAATTATTTTTCTGTTTTATATAAACAGCGTCCAAGGGAAGAAATAATTACTAGTCATTGCTTTCAAATTCTTTGTGGCCCAAATTGAGAAGTAATAATAATTTGTCTCTTTCTTATGCATATTATATTTTTATAGAAGTTCTGAGGACAAATATTGCATCATTACTTAATAGTGTCTCTTAACTAAATGACATCAGCTGCTAACAGCATTCTTGTTCCAAATCTTACACATGTTGTTTTGTGTGTGTGTGTGTGTGATATCTTGATGTGCTATACCATTTAGCTACAGAGGGAGCATCTCGTTATACAGGTTAAATTACTGTTATTAAACTACAAATTTCCCATGATTTCTCTCGAATGCTCATATCTGCTAGAAGCATATCTTAACGTAAACAGATGACATCATACATACATATATATATATATATATATATATTTGGCAGCATATATTTTATATTATATATATTTTTATACCATACATTGAATCAATTAGCAATATTAATGTTGTGATGATATAACCCAACTTCCCCATTCACGATAATGGACGGACTGGTTGCCAATTAAGTACGACCACAGCGGACAGTGAAGGAGGTCTTCGTTTGTTAACACCTATTGAGGTTAGCATACTCCCGACTCTCTCTGTATTTTGACATACCTTCATCCAATTATAAAATTATTATTGAAAAACCAACACTCGGGTTTACTTTGTTTATTATATCTTGCACGAGATATAACAGCTGGCGGCGAGGATTGTGCAACGTACTTACCTGAAAATATATATATATATATATCAGACCACGCTGAACGGATTTCGGAAGCAGATTCACAAGCCAAAGATATCTGTTGACGCCAATTAGGATTTGGAAAACAGAGTGACAAGTCAAAAGGAAACTTTTTGAAAAGTAAGAAAATTTTTACTGTTAAATTGTGATTTGAAAAATATATATTGAACCGCGACTCAAATGCGAGCCTGTCTAATAATTGATTATTCAAGTAAAAATTATGGGTTGCAAAAATATTATGGCTGTAAATTGTCTGTTAACCGTCTAAAAAAAAAAAAAAAAAAAAAAAAAAAAAAAAAAATTTTGCCGAATTCTAAATAAAGTCAGGATGGAGCAATTAGTTGAAATGACTAAAAGGCTGTGTACAATCTTGCAACAACAACAGCATCAAGAGTTACAACAACAGTAACAAAAACAGCACCAAGACTTACAACAACAAATATTACAACAGCAAAAAAGTCTCAAAAAAATTCTGAAACAGGCGACTGGAGAAATAAAAAATACTGTTTTTTCTGCCGAAGGAATAGCAAATTCATTATCCGAATTTATTTATGATCCTGATTCGGGCATTACATTTCCAGCATACTTTAAACGTTTCGAAACTATATTTACCAAGAGATGTCAACATTGGTCGGATGAGGAACGAGTAACATTATTAGTCCAGAGACTAGGGACAAACGAGAATAGGAAGTACTCAAACTTGATATTGCCCAGAAAGCCAGAAGAAGTTTTGTTTGAAGAAACTATAAGTATTCTGTCAAAAATATTTGACGAAAGGAATAGTCTATTCCACACGCGATACAGATGCCTAAACATCGTTAAAGCAGATAACGAGGATTTTGTGACATACACGGGAACAGTGAACTCTCTGGTTGAACAATTCAAGTTAGAAGAATTAACCAAAGATTTATTCAAGTGCCTAATTTTTCTTCAAGGACTAACTGATCCTAAATATAAAGAAATTAGGTCGAGAATATTAATAATGGTTGAGCAAGACTCGAAAATAACATTACAAAGGGTGACCAAAGAATGCCAACATCTCATAAATGTAAAAAGGGATAATATACAAATTGAGGAAAAATGTGTCGCTAATGTTCGACACGTAAAAACTCAAAAAACTCCAAAAGCCAAAAAGATAGAAAAATGTGAGACGTGTGGAAAAAATAACCATACCAAAGATGTGTGTTGGTACAAAAATAAATTCTGCCAATCGTGCGGAAATAAAAATCATACCAAAGATGTGTGTTGGTACAAAAATAAATTCTGTCAATCGTGTGGAAATAAAGGGCATAAATATTCGGTTTGCCACAAGAAAAGGAAATTACAAGATATAAGCCTGGTATTATCAGAAAAAGAAATTCAGAAAGGTAAAAATAGAAAGTACGTAGATGTACGTATAAATAATCATACAATTACTTTCCTATTGGATTCTGGTTCAGACATAAGCATCATTGATGAACAAACATGGAAAAATATTGAAGACCTAAATTATCTGAAACCAAAAAAAATGCTAGAGGGGTTTCAGGAAAGAAATTAAACTTTAAGGGAGAATTAAAAGTGCGATATTTAGTTATGTGGCAAGACTGCAAAAACGAAAGTGTATGTAATCCAAGGGATTAATTCATGTCTTTTGGAATAGACTGGATAGTACTCTTTGATTTGTTTGAACTCCCGATTAACTCATTTTGCAACGTAATAAACAGTGCAGAAAAACAAAAAAGTATTAAAAATGAAAAATTCATGAATAAATTAAAAGAAGAATATCCCAGAGTTTTTTCTGAGGGATTGGGTTTATGTACTAAGACGGAAGTCAAATTTGAACTCAAGGAAAATGTGAAACCAATTTTTAAACCTAAGAGAAACGTTCCTTTTTCCTCCTTAGACACAATTAATAAGGAATTGGAAAGGCTTGAAAAAATGGGAGTGATATCTAAGGTTGACCATGCGAATTGGGCCTCGCCAACAGTTTATGTTAAGAAGAAAACGAAAAAAATAAGAGTAAAAGAGATTTTTCAACAGGGTTAAATGATTGCCTTAAAAATCACAGTTATCCACTACCTTCACCAGAAGATATTTTTTCAAAATTGAATGGGGGAAGATTTTTTCAAAAATCGACCTGTCTGACGATACTTGCAGATTAAAGTGAGTGATTTAATGCTCAAAATATTTGTGTATAAATACACATAAAGGTATTTATAAGCTAAATAGGCTTCCTTTCGGCTTAAAGGTCGCTTCAGCTTTGTTTCAACAGGTGATGGACACTATGCTGGCAGGCCTTGAGTTTGGTACCGCCTATTTAGATGACATTCTAGTCAAAAGTAAGAATGTTCAAGAACATAAAATGCACATCAGAGCGATATTCAAAAGACTAGAAGATTTTGGCTTTAAATTAAGCCACGAGAAGTGTAAATTCTTCATGGAAAGAATTACATACCTCGGACAGGTAATAGTGAAGGCAGGAAAC